TGGTTTTTGTATTAGACCCGTCGTCCATTTATTTGTAAGTCAATGTTCACAAGGCACTCTACTGCTACTATGATGTTGAATATTTAATAATAAAATGTTGCAATGATGGCGTAGGAAAGGAACATTTTTGGCTCACTTTTGGCCATTTGCCGTTGGCAAAACTAGTATAGTATAATAATAAAATAATAAATATAATAATAAAAACAAACATTCATAATTATGTTCTACATTCTCTTAGAGCATCAATTCCCCATTCTGAACGTAAATTACGAATCGAACGAGACATGTTTGCAATCCCTTCCTTCAAATAAAAATATCATTAGGGATGTCACAGTTCTATAAATAATTAGTTACTGGTACTTTTATGTTGATTTCAAATAACTTACTAGTGATTTCAAACTTCTATTAAACAAAATTATCAACAGCCTAATTGAATTTCGAGTAAAAAATATTAAAATTATGATAACTGTAAAACAGTGTTTTTCATTTTTGACATTTATTCTACATCGAATTTGTAAATAAAATAAATTATAAAACAATACAAGAGAGGTACGTCCTTTCCCTTTAATTGGTCTCGTTTATTGCACACAAAAACAAAAATCAAAGAGATACAGCATAACGGGCTTCGTAACCTTTTAATTTCGTATTGAAACTGTGTTACGTAATAATCACATTTATAATTAGAAATATAGGTAGAGCAGGTCCAGTGTAGGGCACAGGCATATCGAATTGCGAAACAGTATCTAGCACCCACATAATGATAGGGCACTCGAGTAATACCTAAGTTAATGATAGGTTTCGTTTCCTCCGCGCGAACCTTACATCAGATAGCAAATGCTACAGGTTAGGAACCATTGCTTCGAATTGGGGTTAGTTGTAGTGTTCGGCTCATGGAAAAAACAATATTTTTCTGAACACTTTTTCTTCTACATTTTAAATATTTTGAAAAAAAAAATTCCACCATTTGTAATTTTTCATTCATTTACCCATCACTAGCTTAGTGTAACTGAATTAACTGAGAATAAAAAAATATATAAAATGAAATTTGTCTATCTTAATGTTTACATATATTATATGTGTATGTCACGCTCTGTTCTCATCAGGGTAGGCAGAGACTGACAGGACACCTCTATAATATACACGTTTTGTTCTCTGAGGACAAACACAAGTAATTTTTTAATATTATAAAACTAAAGATGGGCCCCAATTATGACAAAGTCGGTCCCTCAGGACAGCCGCCGCCATTGAAGCTGGCCTGGTAAGAAATGATTGGATAACCTGGACAATTATTTTGGTTGTGGGTAACACACAAAAGGGAATATTAAATTAAAAAATAAACCGACTTCAATAGTTTCTGGAATTACATCTATTTGTACAGATTTTAATAATGAATAAATAATTGAAAACGGTTAACGGAAAGTAGTTGAAATCCAATAAACCTAACTTATCCCCTAGTTTGCCACCCTTAGAAGTGGAATATTAAGTTCAAATTTAAATGGAACCAATAGCGAGATGCTCTTTTTCCAACAAAAAAGGATCATCAAAATTGGTTCACAAATGCCAAAGTAATAGAGTAGAACAACTTTTTTTGAACTCGGTTAAAAATAAAGATGGACCCCAGTTACACCCCCTGACATCCTCAACCTGATTGAGATATGTACAACGAGGTCTGTCTCTCCTATCGCCACCGTCCACATTCGCTTTATAAAGTGCCGCCTATCTACCAACATTCATTCTGTCTACATGATCAAACCATCGAAGCGTCCCTCTCTCTATCCTTGTCACTACATCATCTTTCATAACACAACGCTCTCTTACTACACAGCTTAGCATTCTGCTTTTAAGTGGACTCTTGTATCAATAACAATAAGAAATTGTTGGTGTAATTTCTAAATATATACAATATATGTATTACCACAACGATCGAACAACAGAAAAAAAAATCCTTCTATCTGGCTGGATTGGAACCAACGGCTTAGTTACTCTAGCAGACGTTGGTTGGAATCCAGCCAGAACGAAGAAATTTTTTCTAAATGTTCGGTCTTTGTTTTAATAATTGTAACAAGCTAGTTGAATAATTTCACAAAAAAAGAAATGAATATCACCGTGGTGAAACATCCTCATATTTAATAAAACTTAAGTATACACATTTTTTCTCATTATACAATAGCTCTGTACAAACAAAAATAAGTTAAACCGTCATTTTAAAACCTTCGACCTTCAATTCTCAATAATAACTACAAGGCCACCGAAAGTTCAAATTATGCTCCAATGCACGTTAACAAAGACTACCCATTGATAATAGCGTTAAATGTTACATTTACCTCTATTCCGTCAGTAATACAATAACACTTTTTGATTTATAGTTTTTTGGATGTAGGTAAGTAGCGTATATTTGTTTTTACAGGTTCCATACCATTTTTGTATAAAATACGACCACAAAAGTTTCTGGAATTTCATCTATTTGCCAAGTTTTATTGATATCAGCTAACAGTGAAACCCAATAAATCGGATTCATCTCCTGATTTGCCACCCTTAGAGGTAAATTTTTTTTCTAATTTGAATGCGGCCACTACTGAAAAAGAATTGTTGAAATTGATTAACAAATCTC